TAATAATAATAATAACTTTATTTATTTATATAGCCCTATTTCCATAAAAAGCCCAATAGTGCTTAACAATTATAAAAATAAATGAATAAAAATTTACAATTATGTATCACTAACGTATTGAAATAAATAAATATCTATCTTATAAGTATATTAAAAAATAGTTTATCCAAGTATAAATTATATATATATATATATACATTGGCCATATAATTATACTTAAGCAAACGCTTCCTTAAAAAGGTAAGTCTTAATTAAGGACTTAAAACTGGAAACTGAGCCAGCAGTCTTGATATCATGAGGCAAAGAATTCCATAAATAAGGGGCAGCATAATAAAATGCTCTATATCCATAAGATCGTAAATTATAACTAGTCATGACTAAATTATTACCTGATGACGATCTAAGAGTGCGTCTAGGTTTATAGATATTAACTAGATCAGATATACATCCTGGAGCCTGTCCATTAAGGGCCTTATGTGTAAATAGTAATATCTTATATTTAATCCTCTGTTTAACTGGTAGCCAAAGTAAATCGTATAAAATAAGTCTTATATGTTCATACTTGCGAGTAAGGGTTACTATACGAGCAGCTGAATTCTGAACCTTCTGTAAACGTTCGATAGCATAGTCTGGTAGTCCAAATAAGAGAGAATTGCAAAGATCTAACCTAGATGTAATAAGTGCATGGACTAATGTTTCTGCAGACTTGCGAGTAAGATATTTTCTTATTCTACTAATGTTTTGTATCGACCACACCAATATCCTCTTTTTTGACATTCAAAATATTTGGGCTATTTTTGTTTGCATTTGCAATTGACTACAGAAAGAGAGTTCGCTCTGACCTAAAATATCCTCTTTATAAATCAGTTGAATCACTTGATGAAAGGGATGTCTTGAAGAACTCAAATGACGAGCCACTCAGCAAACCAAGCAAGCATCATGGCGTCTCATCATTAGTCGACCCTCTACAGGAGCTAGGAAGACTCGACGAGGCTGTTCTAAAGAGGAAAGACAATGAGTTGCCAACAAAAAGAGATCCATGGCGAAGATCTAATAAGAGGTGGGGAAGAAAGAAGCAGAAGGGTAGCTGCAGACGGTAAGAAAAAAGGATGGGTGGGTGGATGGATGGATGGCTTGCTGGCTGGCTGGCTGGATGGATGGCTAGCTGGATGGATGGATGGCTGGATGGATGGCTGGCTGGATGGATGGATTGCTGGCTGGATGGATGGATTGCTGGCTGGATGGATGGCTAGATGGATGGCTTGATGGATGGATGAACAACTGTAACATGTAATAGAATTATTTAGTTGCAATTGAAACAATGATAAAAGGGTAAATTATACACCATGAAAAGATGAAAAAACTTACTGACGTTTCGGACGCTAGTCCTTTGTCAGAGTAAAAGAGAAAGAGGTGGTACTAAGGAGTGTTTATATATTGACAACAAGACAAAAGAAACCAATGAGAACAAGGTGGGCAAAGAAAAGAAAGAAACAATCAAAAGACAAATGAATGGGTTGGTTAAAGGCAAAACGTTCATTAATTCCGTTGGGACTAAGAGTGCCCAATAGTTGAATAAGCTGCATTTCTTTGGTCTTGCGACAATCATTGTTGCCGTTAATCAAAGAAAGACCGAAAACAATGAAGTCAGAAAAAGAATGGTTAGCTTGATTGAAATGACGGGAAACTGGTTTGGTGGAATCGTTATTGCGAATATCATAACGATGATTGCAAATGCGATCACCACAACTTTTCTCTGCCTGACTCTGATACTCGCACTTCTGCTCTTTTCAACAACCGCCCTCTTTTTCTTCCCTCCTTTAACTATGATTGGAAACACCGACGCAGCTCACACTAGTTTTCAGCTAGTTATCTCTTTTTAGTTGCAATTGAGGATGTTTAGCGCTTGTAGCTTGGTGTAAATTCATGTGACTTCGTCTCTCTTTTATAATTTTATTGATTTGCAGCTGCAAAGACGACCGAGTGAAAACGTCTACGAGAAAACAAGGAACATTTGCCACAAGTACTTCGAACCCTGGTACAAGTACAAAGAAACCTTCCTCCCAAACAGCACCTACAGGTTCTGCTGATGTGAGCACTGTAGCCTTGACAACACCTGCCATACCAGAAACTCTAGATGCGATCCTGCAGACAGCTTTATGCCCTACAGCGGGTCCTTTCGGATGCCCTCTGGGCATGCATAGATACGGTTAATTTATTATGGAAAGAAACTTCCTCACATAGTCGTAATCATTTGATTTGTAAGCATAGCATGCAATTATTAATAGATACTCGATCTATCGCAAYTTTGTTTATTAATGAATAAACGAAATGCTTAAAGATCTTTGGTTATGCGTCGTATTAATAATATTAATAAAAATCGGACACCTCCCTTAAAGATAAAGAAAACACGGGATGTGTATGCACTCCACCCTGATATCAGTGAAGTGCCATTTCTCGAATCTGTCCGAATCACTTACCAAAGGCTAAGCACAAGACGATCAACACTAACCAGCGCCGTCTACAGACAACACCCACTGAAGCTAACTCTCGACGCTGGTGCAAAAACCAGCATGACGTAAGTCTAGTGTCCCTTGCTCAGACAATTGGCCTCACCATTGAAAAGTCTTCACAGCCAGTATTACAGGCCAATGACTCGACTCCGTTAACTATTGTCGGCGAAGTGTGGGTCTCTCTTTCACGCTCCAATAAGAAAAGTGCCCTCGATACTCTCGTTTTAGGGAACTTGGATGTCGCAATTCCAGCCGGCAATCCCTTTTTCATCACTAATAACACCTCGGTGCGCTTCGCAACGCAGCAAGTAACCGATACAAAGCTAAAGCTCCAGAGCTAGGAACAGACCCAAATGTTGGTACGGAACCACTGTACCATATGTCCTCGCCCAAATATCCTTTGCCCAGCAAAAAAAGTGGTACCAACCTCAGCTCACAATGTAGATACAGTGGGGAGTAAGGTGAAGTAACCATGCACCGTTCGGCGTCACTATCACAAGTGTTGGGCCCGTTTTACCAGCCACGTGATTCCTCCAGTAAAACTTACACCTCCCTCCTGTAAAGTCACAATACTAAAGCATTACAAAAGACTCTCGCCAACCAAAACCGTCAACTACCCACAATCTACGACAATCCTAGGTTAGGAGTGGAACTAACGCAAACTATCTGCAAGTCCCCACCGTGGCGTCGGCGTACTCCTCTCTTGTCCTCGACCYACGCCATTAAAAGTATGCGCTCTTTCATTGGGCCTTACAAAGTCTTTAGACTTGTCTTTCCGGACTGCTCCATGCCAATCGATCCTCTTGAGGCTGCGATCTCTAGCCTTCAGTCACAATACAAACTCAACCTGCACAACGGTCTCCTTCACAAGTTTAAACCTGCACAACAGGGCCTCACATCAACCAACACTATTGTTCTACCACGACTATCAATCACCTTATGAATCGTAACCAAAGAAGGCCTTCAATCAACATTACATGTTTTCCATGACAACCATCTCCACCTGGCAAGCTTTTTTACAGCCAAGCTCCGCACCAAACTCAAACACCAATTAGTTGTCAACAATGCAAAATTGAAGCGTCTGCTTTTCTTCTCGCAATGCTCCCGAGTGTCAAGTACAAATTTGCCAGGGGTTTTCTTTCATCTTATAATCATTCTACAATGATATATACATAATATATTCTACAAACAAACAAGAACTTTTATAAGTAATATCAATTAAAAGTAGTACCCCAATGAATGCCCCATAGAGTATTTGTATCTCAAGGTTATAATTCTGCAATAACCCGGGTAAAGCCAATATATTAATCAAAGGTTGACGACGGGGGTTCATATAATCAGTACCAAGTGCATGCATTTAGGAAGAGAGATTCGATAATTGAAAGCAATTGGTATCCGCACCTTGGAGAGCAAGAGATATGAAGACCATACTTCTACTCCTGATCTTCGCGGGCTTTTCTTTTCAATCTCTCATTTCGGCTCCCATAAATCAAGGTAAATGACAAAGTTATTTTTCAACATTTTGGAAAAACGTTTTTTTTGTTTCTTGGAAATAGAGATTCAAGCCTTTTTGAGTTCGTCAATTCGTTCAATCGTAGAATCATTTAAATTTCTCTTTTCGTTTTTTCTATCTTTCTTTTTTTTCTTAAGTCTTTGTTTTTAAGTAGGAATAACACTCAACACTCCTCTATTAGCTGGTTGTGCTCGAATGGAAAATCGACTTACTTTCAATATTAATATTCAAAAATTTAAAGGGTTGGATATTTTTGGCAATTCTAGTTCTTTCTCAGTTATTACATTCATAAAGAGAGTTTGCAATGACTTAAAAAATCTTCTTTAAAACTAGTTGGATCACTTGATGAAAAAGACGCTTTGAAAGCTCCAGATGGCGAGCTGCTCAAACGAAGCAAACAACACGGCATCTCATCATCAATCGACCATCTACAGGAATTAGGAACACTCGACGAGGCTGTTCTAAACAGGAAAGACAATGGGTTGCCAGCAAAAAGAGATCCATGGCGAAGATGGAGACCTAATAAAAGATGGCGAAGGAAGAAGCAGAAGAGTAGATGTAGGCGAAAGGAAATATGGATGGATGGATGTATGGATGGATGGATAAGAAGTACAATGGAACCTACCACCACCACAACGACACCCACTGCAGCTGTTCAAGATGTCTCAGTAAATGCTACAGGAGAACCTGCAACAAGTACGATAACCCCTGCCACAAGTACAATGGAACCTACCACCACCACAACAACACCCACTGCAGCTGTTCAAGGAGATGTCTCAGTAAATGCTACAGGAGAACCTGCAACAAGTACCATAGCTGCAGGAGGTAAGAAAAATAGATGGATGGACAGCGTTATCTAATTGCAAGTTACAGTTTTTCACTCTTGTAGTTTGGTGAAAGGTAATTTATGTGACTTTGTCTCTCCTTCTATTTTTTTTTTATTTCCAGCAAACAAACAACAAACTCGACAACAGGTACAATAGAAATTACAACCACAACAACAACTAACGCAGCCGATGCTCATATGAGCAGTGTAGCCTTGACAGCACCTGCCGTAAAAGGGTCACAAGATACGGTCCTGCAGTCGGGATTCTCTACATCGGGTCCTTTAAGATATGGTGGTTTTAATGGTTTTYACGATTACGGTTAATTCAGTGCATAAATAAATTTTCCACATATAGTAGTCGTAAACAATTGTGATTTTTAAGCGCACAGGTATTAATAAAAGGGCGACTAAAACTCTGTTTGTCTCAATCACAAATAAACATAAAGTTAATGATCTTTGTTTGTGTTTTTATAAATAAAAATCCTAATCTCTCTGAGAAGTAGACCCAGCTTTGGTGTCACGATATGGATTCCCATTCTAGTCCTCGTCAGTAATTCTTTGACAAGTTGTTGAGACGTGTCAGTAGATGCTGTAGTGTCTGGAGTAACAGGAGAACCTGCAACAAGTACGATAAGCCTTGACACAAGTACAATAAAACCTACCGCCACAACGACACAGCCCACTGCAGTTGCTCAAGGACACGTCTCAGTAGATGCTACAGGAGAACCTGTAACAAGTACAATAACCCTTGCCACAAAAACAATGCAACCTACCACCACAACAACATCACCCACTGCAGCTCTTCAAGGAGATTTCTCAGTAGCCGCTTTAAGGTTTGGAGTAAAAATAGTAGAACCTGCTACAAGTACGACAAACCCTGCCACAAGTACAAAAGAACCAACCACAACAATAACACTACCTACCGCAGCTGCTCATGTGAGCACTGTAGCCTTGCCAACACCTGGCGTACAAAGGACGCAACATAAGATCCCGCAGACCACTTTATGCCTAACGGGGATCCTTTCAGATGTATGGGTATGGATAGCTATGGTTAATTCATTATGGAAAGAAACTTGTATAATTAGTTGATTTGTAATCCTGCAAGTATCAATGAATTGTCGATTTATCTAAAAAACTTTGGTTGTCTTATTTACAAATAAATGTAAAGCTAATGCTTTTGGTTATTGAAGTCTAAACAACTGGTATTTTAGGCCAGTGACACAACTCTGTCAACCGTTGTTAACGAAGTACATGTTTCTCTTTCACGCTTCCACAAGGAAAGTGCTCTCGATGCTCTCGTTATAGGGGACATGGATGTGGACATCCTAGCCGGCATACCCTTTCTTAACACTAACGACATCTCGGTTCGCCCGGCAACGCAGCAAATAACGATACAATGTTACAATACCAATGAAAAGTTCAGTATACAATCCAATACCATACGCCCAATCCGCTATTGTCATCTGGCCTGGGGATTACCTAGAATTTCATCTGTTGTTAATTAACCTCTGTACGATATGTCCCGCTCAAACGTCAAACGCAAAATGTGACACCAACCTCAAGCTGAAGATATCGTGGGGAGTAAATTGCGCATATCCAATACCTCTGATGAACCATACCCCGTTCGGAGCCACCATCACATCTGTTGGGCCCATTCTACCAGCCACATGATTCCTCCGGTCACACTTCTACCTCCCTCTCTTCAGTTACACAAATTTAGCGAGTCCCGCGGCCGTTCTCCAATAGCTCTAGCCGTGGTCCTGGCCGGCTTTGTCTCCGTCTTAATGTGTAATCAGTTCCAAAAGGTTTTACAACGATACGACACCGTCTTCAAGCGTGGCATTCCAGGGTGTAATGGCTTCATAGAAGATCACCTAAACATACCTTAGCCGCGTACTACCGGACTGCTCTACACAAATCTATCAGCCTCAAGAGGCCTCTCTAGCCTTTAGTCACAAGACATACACAACCTACACAACGGTCTTATCCACGAGTTCAAAACTGCATGCACAACGGGGCCTCACATCGACCAAAATTATTGTTCTACCACGCGCATCAGACACCTTATTGATCGTAAGACAGCTCCGTAACCAAACGCGGCCTTCAATCAATGTTATACGTTTCCCGAGAACCATCTCCAAGCTCATTGGCTACCATTCGAAAATAAAGCAGTGAGCTCTGCCGCTACCGCAAAACACTTCAACGTTAACCCCATAATCGTCATCATCATAACCATCACGTCACCACCATCTTCATCAGATTATTATTAATCTTTATCCATTTGTCGCCTTCTTTTGAGTATTTTTTAAATATAAAAACAGATAAGAACCTATACAAAAATATATATTGTATTAAAAAATACCACAATAAAAGCCCCATCATAGAGTATTTGTATCTCAAAGTTCTAATTCTCCAATAATCCGATTTGAGCCAATATATATCAAAGTGAAAAGTGAGTAATGGTTAACGACAGGGGTCATATAATAAACCATTGTTACTATTGAATGCACGCCATCGTCCTCAACCACCTCTGAAATCGCTGTCAGTATGTGGTGATGTAATCCACACAGCAGCTGAAGTTCGTAACACTGGAGCACTGATGGATTCAACTTTGTGTATGGACCAACATGTCACGAACATTTGCAAAACATGCTTCTATCACTTAAGGAACATTGGTAGAATAAGAAAATATCTTACTCGCAAGTCTGCAGAAACATTAGTCCATGCACTTATTACATCTAGGTTAGATTTTTGCAATTCTCTCTTATTTGGACTACCAGACTATGCTATCGAACGTTTACAGAAGGTTCAGAATTCAGCTGCTCGTATAGTAACCCTTACTCGCAAGTATGAACATATAAGACTTATTTTATACGATTTACATTGGCTGCCAGTTGAACAGAGGATTAAATATAAGATATTACTATTAACATTTAGAAAACTCATTAATAATTCATGAAGAAAACACAATAGAAATCATGACCATGAAGGTGATTTTATATCTGATAAAGATTCGTCTTCATTTGCATAAACTTGAACTTGGATTTTCTCTATCAAACTTGGTTCATTTCGTAAAAAAATCGGTACACAATGAGAACAAACATCATAAGTTTTCGAAGCCGTTCAATAATCTCGCAGATCGTGGTTTATCGGGTCTAAAACCACTCGGCTGCGCCTCGTGTTTTATACCCGATAAAACACTCCTGCTCGTTTATTAAACATTACATAAAGCCCTTAATGGACAGGCTCCAGGATATATATCTGATCTAGTTAATATCTATAAACCTAGACGCACTCTTAGATCGTCATCAAGTAATAATTTAGTCATGACTAGTTATAATTTACGATCTTATGGATATAGAGCATTTTATTATGCTGCCCCTTATTTATGGAATTCTTTGCCTCATGATATCAAGACTGCTGGCTCAGTTTCCAGTTTTAAGTCCCTAATTAAGACTTACCTTTTTAAGGAAGCATTTGTTTAAGTATAATTATATAGCCAATGTATATATATATATAATTTATAATTCATACTTGGATAAACTATTTTTTAATATACTTATAAGATAGATATTTATTTATTTCAATACGTTAGTCATACATAATTGTAAATTCTTATTCATTTATTTATATAATTGTTAAGCACTGATTGGGCTTTTTATGGAAATAGGGCTATATAAATAAATAAAGTTATTATTATTATTATTATTATTATTACCAAGTACATGCATTCAGGTAGAGAGATTCTGTAATTGAAAGTAATTGGTATCCATATCTTGGAGAGCAAGACTAAGAAGACCAAATTGAAAGCAAAAGGTATCCGCACCTTGAAGAGCAAGAGATATGAAGACCATATTTATATTCCTGATCTTTGCGGGCTTTTCTTTTCAATCCCTCATTTCTGCTCCATTGAAAGGTACAACGACAAATTTATTTTCCAACATTTTTAGAAAAAGTTTGTTTTGTTTCTTGGAAATAGATAGTCGTCTGTTAGCTGGGGATGATTCGTGCTAGAACGGAAGATCGTAGTTTCAGTAGCATCTTTTTTTATAATTAAGAATGTTGGTATATTTTTTGGCAATTGCATTTTTTCCTATGTTATTCTTTACAAAATGAGAGTTTGTGCTGACTTAAAACATCCTCTTTAAAATAAGTTGAATCACTTGATGAAAGGGAAGTTTTAAAAGATGCAGATGGCAAACCACTCCGCAAACAGAGCAAACATCATGGCGTCTCATCATCAATCGACCTTCTACAGGAACTAGGAAGACTCGACGAGGCTGTTCTAAAGAGGAAAGACAATGAGTTGCCAGCAAAAAGAGATCCATGGCGAAGATCTAACAAGAGGTGACTTAAACAATTGATTTTTAAGCGCGCAGGTATTAATAAATCTGCGATCAAAACTTTCTTCGTCTTATTCACAAATAAACATAACGTTTATGTTCTTTGTTAGTTTTTTATGCATAAAAAGCTCTCGTATCAGTAGACCCGGCTTTGGAGTCATGAATTCTAATTTTAGTTCTCGTCAGTAATTTTCTTAGCTCGTTTGCTTGAGTTATACTTATATCTTATTCATCATGCCTTCTCGTGCACAAATGTTAAATAGAGATTATCACGTTTTAAAAAAGAGCTTGATATCGTTTTTATTCGTGAGTTTCCATATCATATCGCGAACGAGCGAGCCTGCGAACGAGCGAGTGATATCAGATGAGAAACGAGTGAACAAAATGATATCAGGCTTTTATCATGTGATCATTTGTTTATTCCACATTTAGGGTCGATAACTATGACAAAATTTACAATTTCCTGTTCACCGTGGAGTGATATCGTATCATTTCTCAGCGTTGACATTGACGATGCACAACAGTACCTTCGCAGGGATTGCCTAGAGATAACAGGCATTCCGTTTAAGTCGGATGAAAACACTAACAAAATTGTGAAAGAAGTTGCCAAAGTAATAGAAGTAAATATGAATCAAAATGATATATCCACTTCTCATAGATTACCTAAAAGAAAAGTAATTTGTATAACAAAACCACACAAGCTCAATTAGTGGAATGCAAGGCCGCAATCGGATTCACATCAATGAATCCCTCACCGCCATAGGAAACGCATATTTGCTAGGATAAATGATTTCAAGAAAACACAGAAAATAAAGTTCATCTGGACTAATTGGGGTAAAATCTACTTGAGAGAGAATGAACGAGCAAGAAGTTATATATTTACTACTCATCAGATCATCAGAAGCTTGATGAATTCAAGGACACATATATTTCAAATAAGTAGTTTAAATAAGTTATTATAAATATAGTAGTGATAACTAGCAGAAAACATAGGGCGTTGGCTAAAAATATTAGCGGTAGAGTACAAACACTACAAGTGTGTAACATAAATACCACTAAATACTGCTAATTTATGCTAATCCTATTTTCTATTGCTTAATTAGCACTATTTACTACTAAATAGTACAAAGTGTTGCACACTTTTAGTGTTTCTGCTCTAGTAGAGTCCAAATTAAGTAAATTAAAATTTCGATTAATGATGGGTTTTATCGAATTGTTAACAGGATGTAAGAGTGGAAGGAATGCGATCTAGGTTGGTAGTACGAGGCTTAGGAGTGAGAGCAGTATTCCGATCAGGTAGAAGATACCTTATGCATAGCACGGTTTATGATAGCTAAAGGATAGCCACGTTTAAGAAAAGACGAACGCACCTCTAGACATTTGTTGGAAAAATCAGTGTCATCGCTGCAAAGGCGATGTAAACGTAAAAACTGTTAAAAAGGAATAGAGTCGAGAGTGTGTTTAGTGTGAGAAGACGAATAGAGTAAAAAAGAATGCGAACAGTAGGTTTATAGTAGACAGTGGTACTGAGATGATGTAAAGTAATGCTAACGGAGATATCAAGAAACGTGACAGAATTATCACTTATCTCCCAAGTAAAATCAAGAGAAGGATGAAATGAGTTAACATAAGAAATAAAAGAGTCGAAATAAGTCTTGTTTAGAGCAAGAAGCAGCACCGATGCAGCCATCGATGTAGCGACCAAAAGGTTCAGGTTTGCGGCCTTGATAATTTAGAAAGATTTGTTCTTCGATGAAACCAACAAAGAGATTGGCATAACTACATCATTAGTTTGCGTACTAGACTCTAAGACAGAGCGACGGTCAAAAAATGTTTGAGAGCGCGAAGGCCTTTGTCATTAGGAATGACGGTATAAAAGGATTTAACATCCATGGTAAACAAGAACTTAGACTCACTAGAGTGGAAACGAAAATCGGGAAAAATTCTAAGAGCATGATTGGTGTCTTTGATGTATGTAGGAAGTGTTTGTACTATAGAAAGCATGACAGAGTCAAGGTAGATAGAAATAAGCTCGGTCGGACAACTACAAGTTGATACAATAGGGCGCCCAGGATTGTTAGCTTTGTGAATCTTAGGTAAAAAATAGATATGAGAGGTTCTAGGAGTGGTAATGATAAGATTTTTAGCAGTATCGGGAAGGCTGCCATCAGAAATTCAAAAATTGATAGTATCCCTAACTGTCTTTTGGTTAGAAAGAGTAAGGCCATTGTCGACTTCACAATAAAAATTAGAATCAGAGAGCTGGTGTAATGCTTCTTGTTTGTAGATCTGTTCGCCAAACGACGACGGCACCACCTTTATCGGCGGGCTTGATAACAATGTCTCTACGTGAACCAGTCCCCATGGGATGAATGAACGCTTCACTTTTAATTAGTCATGCTTCGCTTTCCATTTCTCACTTGTCGTTTTTTCGATCCTTTTGCTTCCTTTTATTTCTTCATATGCTTATTTCTCATTTGTCACTTTATTCCATCGTCAGTTTCACAAAGCTTTTTACGGTGATTCGATTTATCCACAAGTTCCTGCTGTTATAAATATATCTAATTTATTGTTCATTATAATGTTATAAGTATTCAAAGTGGATAATATTATAGCCTTGTAGTTTGTTTTTTCTTCTTCTTCTTTTTTGACCCTAAATGAATATTACGACGTCAGCCAACTAGCTTTAGCTCCTTTGGTTGTCGTACGCTAAAACCTATTATATGTTAATTATAGTAAAAATTGTAAATATTATTCACGCTAATTAATTTTTTTTGTAATTCTATTGTGTAAGGCTGCGTTCATAATGTATGGCAGAGGTGAGGGAAAGGGGGGGAGGGGGGGGG